ATATCTGTGTGTGTGCATGTATGTTGATGGTGGACTGTGTGTGCATGTATGTTGATGGTGGACAACTCTCTTGACAAGGAGCAACATATCAAAAAATAAGCCTATATAACCAATGAAATGGGCGATATGGCCCCAAAACAAAATGGTGTATTGTACTATTTTGCTGTATGTTTCGGGCCATGGCGAATATTAACTCATGTTAGCACAAGAATAGTATGGTAGAACAAAGCTTCTTTAGTAAACAGTATCAGACAATGTGGGATTGACCTCAAATTTTAAAGTTAAGCTTTTTGTAGGACTTTTCTATGATCTCTCAAAGTTTTGGGTCCGTTAGATGCCTATTTCTGGGGTTCCCTTTGTAAATCGACCGGCTTTTTATGCTATCCAGGCCACCATCCATACTACCAAGATTGATTCTAGTATATTGGCCTCTCGATACCGTAATGACCTGATTTTTGGGAGATATCTTGAGGGTTCCTTAGATTAGATTTTGGTTCAATTTTGGCCCATTTTCTTTTCTTGATGTGATTTGACCAAATGGCCCTTATTAATCATCCAATCATGCATTTTGGGTTGCAACCTATCCCAAAGCTCACAGCCTTTATTCATGATGTCCTTTATCATTAAATATGAGGATCCTAAAAACTTGGCCTCAATATGTGATCGTTTGAGGCCCTTACTGAGATTTCTGATTTCTCTGGTAGTTCCAGCACGTATGACATCGGTTGCCTGTTGGAGTGGACGACTTCTGCTTTCACGGTTGGTGGGCCGCCCTGATTTGGGATCCACCATCTACCCTGCTTTATAAGGGTTCTCAGGTAAGATGAGGCCCTGATGCCCACCCGTAGGTTTTAAGCCTATGTTTGGCAACAAATATCCACAATATGATCCAGTTCTGTACACCTCTGTTGGAACTAGTGTTGTGTGCTCTGATACAAAAATACCGCGAAACACATACATGTATCTTCATTTCTGGCTCTCCCCTGAATCTTCAAGATTTGAAGTAGTTGTACTTCCAAACCAACCCAAAGAGAAAAGTTTGCAATACTGAGGAAGGGCTAGGGCTAGTAATCAGCTTCAAAATTTTTATTGTAAGGCCTTTTGATCCTCGTAATCAAGTGAATGTTTCTATCATTGATGCAAAATCCCACAATAAGGCGCAAACTAATTGAAGTCACGGTCCAAGGTGACATACTGTTAGATTGCTTGTCTGACATTGATGGCATACAAACAATATCATAAAAAGCACAGCAGATATTTTTTGGGCCAAAACAAGGGTTATAGGAGCACAATCAGCAGATGGCACCCTACTGGTTGCATTCTACTCATGAGCTACCCGAGCACCTGTATACTATGTCAAAAACGGATCCCCGGATATAAAGTTATGCCCTTCTGAAGGTTGGCATCTAACTTTTCTTCTTTGAGGCTGTATACTGTTACTATGGAGCCGCGTCCTAGTTCACTCTTCATTGGTGTGGCTGTGGCCGCACTTTTTCGGCATCAGGTTCAGGTACCGCCTCATACGTGCAGTCGCACAACTGAGGCCACACAAAAAAACTGTTACAATGTGGGCGATATGTTATTGTATGTCTGTGATCACAAAAGCAGCAGTTATAGGGCTTCAGCCTGTGGTCCTCACACGTGCTCCATCTCGCACTTGTGGCCACACATGTGGGGCATATGTGCACATGCGTGAAGCCAGTGGCATACCCACGCGCATGCCACACATCCCACACGTGTTGTCACCCGTGCCATATGTCTTTTATCACACATGTCGCACATGCGCGTAACGAGCTTGATCCCCACGCACTACACACATGTTAGACGTGCTTATATGTGTGCCACGTGTGCAGTTGCGTGTGCCACTTGTGCCAAGTGGCGTATAGGCTCTGCTGCCCTATGCAACAGCGTGATTGGTGTGCACCTCGTTGGACCACCTCACGTCCACCATGGGACTAGCACGGGTGCATGGTTCACAGCATGTGCATGGACTGCACATGTCCACACAGTCTGTGAGGATGCATGGTGCTTCATCACATAGGACCACTGTGGGTCCAGGGCCCATAGAGTGTGCCTGTGCCCATCATGCACTTAACGGGCTTGTGTGCACCATGTGCATACCTAGGTGTGGCTAATGGGTTGAGTCGACGATCACCCAATGGGCTGACCCGACCGGGGTCAAGGTCAAGTGGATCCAAACATTGGACCTGCAGGGTCAAATTTGGGTTCATTTGACCTTGACCCCACCCTAGTCAGGTCTAGTCTAGGTCCACCTTGGATCCTATGAGGTCAGGTTGGATCGAGTCCTCGTCGGGGTCAACTCGACTTGGTCTTACCCAGTATAGATTAGTATAAACTCATATGAACAATATTAACTATATAATATAAATATATAAAATTTATTTATTTATTTATTTATTTATAGACCTGGACATTGGGTCTAGGTCCATTTGAATTAGACCTGACCCGGGTCTACCATAGAGTCGGGTTGGGGTCAACCTGGACCCAATGCGACCCAATGCCCCCCTGTTTACATCCCATGCCCAAAGTGGCCCTTTTAGTCCAAAAAACCCAAAAACATGAAAATAACAAAATCTCCAAACACTAGAGTTTCTATGTTTTCGCAAACCAACCACATGGGTTATATCCAAGACGCAGATTGCTATCGTAATGGCTTTGATACCAATGTTGGATTCACCGATGAATCCCAATCACATTGAAAAACATAAAATTAAAGAATGAAATATAGGTCACACAACTTTTTGAGTCCGATTACCCTTTTGCGCTTTCAAGTACAGTTCCTTCAGTTCATGTGTTTGATGCTCGCAACCTCGAGCCTTCTTTTGATTATTAGAACTGAAGGTATGATGAACACTACTCAGTTCTATGGGCCCTTTGACGGACCATTCAGGCCATCTTTTGATTATTAGAACTGAAAGTATGATAAACACTACTCAGTTCTATGAGCCCTTTGATGGATGGTCCGAGAGTTCTCATAAAGGGATATAGGGAACACTTAGTTTTCTAGAGAGAGAAACTTAGATTGAGAAGGAGAGAAAACAAAAATGGGAAAAAGTGAGGAGAGATGCATGTGATGCTCTTAGCAAAAAGTTATTATTCTCTCTCTCTATGACCCCTTTTATATAGATGGGCCACTTCCGAAATTCCCTATCTTGGGTGGATTCCTATCTAATCTATATATGTATCTAAACCTTTTGACGTAGAATATAACTTTCCTAGGATATGTTTGAAGTACCCTTGTTATTCCTATGAGGATTCTCATTTCATTTTAATGCCACAAACAACGTCCCTTATTCCCTGGAAATCATTTCACCCACAAGGGCTGTCATTCCAGTAAACCAACAATATGCAATCCCTTTCAAAACAATTAGGTTTCAAAACAATTAGGTTGCGTTAGATGGAGTATGACGAATCCTTGATTGTAGCATTCATCAATAGCCGTGTATACTAGTACGTTAAGTATTCCTTAGTTTTGTGTAATATATTATTAGTGTATGTGAATTAAAAATATATATTATTCATTCTATATGGTACAAAAAGTTTTATTTAATTGTTGAAGTGCCATTTTTTTTCCCCTTTTTTATGTGCACGGGATTGGCAATCCAGAGGGATATATTTGTGTTATTATTTTTCTGTTAATGCTAGCTGACCTCAAATAATTGGGATAAGACTTGGATGATAATGATGATTTTTTTCTGTTAATGCAATCTGATTAGGAATGCACTGCATACAACTAGCTTTGCTGGTATTTGAAACTGAAACGGATTTTGCTTCTCTGACAGTGTACCTTGATCAGTTTGATGCTAGCTCTGCACCATATGAATCAAAAGTGGTTCCCCAGAAACTTTTCCCTAAGCCTGTCAAGGTTGTTGAGAAATATCCTGCAGGTGACACTGGTGACCTGAAAAAGAAACACATGGTTTCTCTCAACTGGTTGCTATCTGAGGAACCCTTGGATCTAGAGACTGAGCTTGCCCTGGGTTTCTTGGATCATCTCATGTTGGGAACCCCTGCTTCTCCATTGAGAAAAACTCTTTTGGAGAGTGGATTAGGAGATGCTCTTATTGGTGGTGGAATTGAAGATGAGCTCTTGCAGCCCCAGTTCAGTGTAGGTTTAAAAGGTGTTGCAGAAGAAGATGTTCGGAAGGTAGAAGACCTGATAATCCAAACTCTTGAAGAATTAGCAAATAAGGGTTTCGATGTAGAAGCCATTGAGGCATCCATGAATACAATTGAGTTCTCTCTTCGTGAAAATAACACTGGTTCATTTCCTCGGGGCTTGTCACTGATGCTACGCTCCATTGTGAGTAAACAGCTTTCTGTTCTTATTTCTTCAAGGGCTTGCCAATGTCACTTGGGCCACTTTATTTTCGCAAATTTTTTATTTTTGGTACTCTTGCAGGGAAAATGGATTTATGATATGGATCCATTTGAGCCTTTAAAATACGAGAAACCGCTAAACGATTTAAAAGCAAGGATAGCGGAAGAAGGCTCAAAGGCTGTTTTCTCTCCTCTAATACAGAAATTCATCTTGGACAATCCTCATCGTGTTACGATTGAGATGCAGGTCTTTTGAAAAACTATTCATTACTGAAGTTAATGATTAAATATTTTAGTGAATTTTGATTTTAGGAAACAATGTTCTGCTGAGTGGGTATTTGCATTGTTCCTTTTCAGCCTGATACTGAGAAAGCTTCTCGTGATGAAGCTGATGAGAAAGAAAGCCTAGAGAAAGTTAAGGCCAGTATGACAGAAGAGGACCTTGCGGAGCTAGCACGTGCAACACAGGAGCTTCGTTTAAAACAAGAAACTCCTGACCCTCCTGAAGTTCTTAAATGTGTTCCGAGCCTCTCTTTGCATGATATTCCAAAACATCCTATACATGTTCCCATAGAGGTAACTATGACCTGTTGCTCTCTTTTTCTATTTATCTCCTTTTAGAAGTTGAGTGTATTAAGGAGTATTTCCTATCTTTTCGGGCCTTTTTTGATGCTCTATAGAATATGATCCTCATACAAACACATACACATGATCCTTATGTATATTTTCTTGTTTTTCAATATGCGTATTCATTATTTTCAATTAAGTTTTCTATATTTTTTTAATGTGTACTCTAAATTTTTTGACAGAAAAGAAATCACCTATGCAACCCTCCTGATATTAATAAAGAGATCAATGTTTACCAATTCTTTTAGTTCATGTTTACCAAATTCTTTTAGTTCATGTGACTGAGGGAGATCGTTGAACTATGTCTAAATGTTTTCTTTATTGCAGATTGGTGAGATTAATGGAGTAAAAGTCTTGCAGCATGAACTTTTTACTAATGATGTTCTCTATGCTGAAGTAGTGTTTGATATGTGCTTGGTAAAGCAAGAGCTTCTCCCTTTGATACCTCTATTTTGGTAAGTCAGCAGTTATGGTTTGGGGGAATTCTTACTATGACGATGCTTCCACTTTTAGAAAAGTGATTGATCATATATTTGTCTGTTATTGGCTATGCGATAATGGGTCACTTATATATTATTAATATTGCGTATGTGATGAGTCCCACATCAGTCGTGTGTTTGCACCTGACATAGGTGCATGTGTCATAACACATGTTGACAATTCAGACAATTGTGAACACTTCCAAGAAGTGTCTACAGGCATTTCTTGGACTTATACTTGTCTGACAAATGGACATGGTGTCGTAGCCATCCACACATTCATCAGAATTCTACATTATGCCTAGGATGTGGAGGTTCACATCAAAACTTTAGAAACTTTTGTCCAAAATTTTTATTGCTTTTGCCTTTAGTATGAAACACCTCCAATTATTTATCATAATGTATTCCATGTGTAAGAATATGGACATGTACATGTATGCATGTCATGCAGTGTTTCAAAAAGCGGACCGCCTAGTTCTTGGGAGCATCATCCAGGCCTAGGCGCCCCAAAAAACGGATATCAATGGGCGCCCAAGAACCCGCCTAGGTGCGCCCTGCCCAGTGGCAGAAATGCCCTTCGTTGAGGCTAATTTTGGGTCATTTTTAATACTAAAGGTGTAAAATTGTGAGTTTTAGGTTAATTTGAAACATAAAATCCATTAGACCTATTTTAGAGAGAAAAAAACCCAAAAAAAAAAAACATTAATGGGCCTCCCAGGTTCTGGGCATCCGCCTAGGTGCTGGGCGGCCTGGACCCCCCCGATCGCCTAGGTACTGCCTAGCGCTTTTTGAAACACTGATGTCGTGTTCCTTACAACAATTTACTTGTATTTGTGTTGGACAGAATATGTTGATCAATACCCATATCTATGATCATGTAACATTGGATACTACTAAAAACAAATATGATACTGTGAAATGGACCATGACATATAGCACTATTAAGTTATACTTACTGTACATTCCCACTGAGAGATGGTTGGAGATAATCTGGACCCAGGAGAATGTCCCCGTGGGCCCCACTCCAGTTAATCTCCAACCATTCGCAAGTGAAAATGCACACTGATTTTTTTTCCTTGGACTACCATAGCCTTTCAGACTAGGTAACGTTTCCCAACAGAATACTCATATATGCAATTTTAACTATGGGTGTGACTTGAATGGTATTTTGACAGTCAATCTCTGTTGGAGATGGGTACTAAAGACATGGACTTCGTGCAACTCAATCAATTGATTGGTAGAAAGACAGGGGGGATATCTATATACCCTTTTACATCATCAATACGTGGCAAAGTGGAGCCATGTAGCAGGATAATTGTTCGTGCTAAATCCATGGCTGCTAGAGTTGATGACCTTTTCAACCTGGTACTGTTTTGGTTATATTGTTAAGCGTACCTTCTTTATGGACTGTTTCACATATAATAAGCTTGTCTGTATGGTTTCTTGATTTAAGATCAAACTAGATTTGTCTCTTTTGTGCCCCTTAGTTCTTAAGGAGCGACTTATCATTGCTATAAGGTAGTATATGAACATTTAACAGGTTCTCTGGTGCTAACTATGACATCATGTGACATATTTGAGGGAGGCCATTGATTCGTTTGCACTTCTGATGGTTCCTTTTTTTTTGCTAGTTTATTTTATTTGTTTAGTTGTTTTACACTGAGTAATGATGAGCAAGTGGCATGACAACCATAACAAGGTCAATTCGACAATGTTGCAACAATGCAACATCTTACTAATAGTGGTTACATGTCTTTCTCTTATAATAATAGGGCATTTCACCCCTATGTTCAGCAATGTAGCTGCTTTGCCATTAGGCCCCTGGATGAGGAAAGGACACTGAGGCCGATGCACTTAGAGCTGGGACTTTTTTCTCATGCCCACGAGATTCCACTGGGGGAATTGGTGAAATATTTTCTCATTAAAAAATTAATTTATACATATTTTTTGATGGGCAAAAATCCCAATGGCCAAAAGTATCATACTTCCCCATGACACCCATGGTGTCATCCCTTCTTACAATGAAAAACCTCTATTGTCTCTGCAACTATTTCTGTTTCTCCTTGTCATGGTTTTACCCCCAAAAAACTCTGTTTGTCCTTCCAAATGTGTTATTTGTTTGACTAAAGATCACTTTTTGATCCATCCTGTGCCTTAATAGACTTGCAATGAATGTGACAATGCTGCCAGCATAACCCGATCAACATTAAAGAGGTCCAGCATAACTGACCAAATTTCCTTCCTAAATGAGTAGCTAAGTGATATATGATCATCCTGGACTCTTTTCTTCACAAAAGATATTTTTGGGAGAATATGCTAAAATGCTGGATATGACCAACGTGTAATGACTATGTCAGTGTAGGCATCCCATAATAAAGTTGCAGGATGTAAATGGCCTTATTCAACTATTAGTAACAATAGAGATGTATCTGAGCTGAGTGGTGAGGGCAGCGGGGCACCATGATGTGACGTCTGGAGTTCCATCCTATTGTAGTAGGGGACCCTTTTCCTACTGATATGCCCCAAAAAAAAAATGTATTGGACCTTAATAAATGTGTTGAAGGTGCCGTTGAAGAAGAATAGTCTCCAACCCTTTTCAAATAATCTCCAACCCTTTTCAAATATATATTATAGTGATGTTCACTTCCACTCGTGCTTGTACAGGCATGAGGTGTTTTCACTACTTCATGATGTAGTTTCTTTTCCCACACTGTTCCTGTGTAACTTAAATCATCCCTGCAGTGTGAGAAGAATCTCAAGTTTCTGTTATGTCAGTTTTCCTGGTTTCTAAAAGAGGTTCTCAGGCTTTGGTCCTGTCTTTTTTCTTATTTGCGATTTTAGGATGAAAAATTAAATGGTAATTTCACTCTATCGCCAGGGCTGCAGAGTTTAATTACAACAGTAAAAATGAGTTTCATTCTTTAATTACCATAAAAATCAAGTCTTAATGGTTTCCTAATTGTTTTAGTTTAACCAGATCTAATAGATAGGCATCCAAGTCCTTATTTGCTCATCTCACGGCGAACTTGCATAGAGGTCTCTTTTGCTCATTCCTTTCATCAAATGGTGTGTTGATTTTGTCCTCCCAGCTTGAGTTATTTATTCCTGAAGGGAATATAATAATGTGGCCATCAATTGAAAAGAAGTTTCAGATTTATGAATTATTCTTTCTTTCCCACATGCACATTTTCAGCTTTGACATGTAGTTCAGTGCTCCTCAACTTTGACTTATTGTTAGTCAAATATTTTGACTGTAGTGTGCATGAATGCTACTTATTGTGCAGGTTAACACAGTTCTGCAGGATGTCCAGTTCACTGATCAGCAACGTTTTAAGCAATTTGTTTGCCAGAGCAAAGCAAGAATGGAGGTATTTTGTGTGCCCCAGATCTGAAAAAAAATTAGTTTTCTCCAGGTCTTTTTTATATTGATTAATTTCTTTATTGCACAGAGTCGTTTGAGAGGCAGTGGTCATGGTATTGCGGCTGCTAGGATGGATGCCAAGTTAAACACAGCAGGATGGATTGCAGAGCAAATGGGTGGTATCAGGTAAATGTCTGCTAATGTTGGTGTTTTTTAATGAGCGGTATCAAATCAATGTTGGTAACACCTTTATAGGTCATTCAGGTGCTCTAGAAATTGAAATTCCGAATGGTGCCTGGGCTGGAATTTTTTGAACTTGACTGTTTTGTGGTCCCTTCATTGTTAATTTATAAAGTTATTTGTGGAATTTGGGTACCAGCAAGGTGCATAGTTATTTTTTAAAAAACTATATACGCATTGTTTCAGAACTTTATGTGCAGGATTTGTGCAGGTATTCCAGGCCCTGTTTTCATATGGGCAAGATCTGTAGTCTGAATCTATCCACGCAAAATTGTACTCTCTTTCTCTAAAGCAATACAAAAGTTGATGTTTATCAAAAAAAAAAATATCATTTAGAAAATGGCCTTCCATTAATTGCTTAATAATTGAAGAAAGCCTACGGTTTAGAAATTATACTTGTGTGACTAATGGATTTGAAAATTTTACGAGTATTGCTGGAATTCCTAATCTCTGCTGATCTGACCACTCAGTCTAATTAGACGATCATAGTAGCTAATTTGAGTTCCCTCTTTGGTGCCTTAATATATTATGGATTCCACTTTTAGAATTTCATTAGTGTTCCTAATAGTCTCATTGTAAGTGGCAAGAACTTCTTAGCCACAGATTTCTTTCTGCGAGTATAAAATGCATACACCGTAGAGGGGGTTGAACTCAAAAAACAACCTTTTAGTCTGATGTTATGCGGTCCTTTGTTCACTTGTATTCCTACTGTCATCCATGTGTATTTGTGTGAGTGAGTGAGAAAGAGGAGATATTCCTGTGTGTGTGTGAGAGAGAGAGAGAGAGAGAGAGAGAGAGAGATTTTAAAAACACTGGTGTGTTATGGTTAAAGGCACCGATCCGAGAGATTTTCAGAAAGAAAAAATATATATAAGGGTGTGGTTTGTATAGAGCTGGGGTTCTAAACAATCAACATAAAGCACGCCTTCAAATAGTGTCGAGAAATGTGATTTCAATACTGGAAATCTTTGTGATAGCCTTAAAATTTATTTTCTTCTCTAATTGTAAAATTTAAAGCTTAAAAAATAGTGTAGATCAAGTATGAAAACTTGAAAATCTTGAAAATTGATGGTCCAAAAATACGTTTTAAGATGCACTATTTCCAAATCTTGAAATCTATTTTTTTCTCATATCCATGCATCTTGATGTTGAGATGATCAATTTGAGGATATTTGGGCATCAAAACAACCTTTTCTACTGAAATTTTTGAGGTAGGCACTAATTTGATTGTTTAGAGCCTCAGCTCTATATAAACGTTTTCCTTTATATAAAGTTTTTTTTTGGGTAAGTCAGTGGGGGAGAAGGCCGCCTACCCATTTTTCCATTAATAAAAGAGCAGAGAAAAACAATTAACCCTATAGTAGAACTATGGTGCACCTCTAAAATCCTTCAAAAATGTTTGTTTTGATGTTGGAAAAACATCAAATTGATGATCTCGACATCAATATCTATCGATATGGAAAAAAAAGAGATTTCAAGCCCTAAAAATAGTATATTTTACAACACAATAACTGGACTTCCCATTTTGTTCAAGTGGAAAGTAAAAAAGAGCGAGGGGGAAGCCCAAAAAGATATGGTTGGAAGTAGTGAGAAAAGATATACGGATTTATTGCCTCACTGAGGGTACAACCCTTAATAGAGCAGAATGGCAGACCAGGATTTGTGTAGTCGACCCCAATTAGTCTTGAAAAGGCTTTGACGATTATGATGAATTAGACTTTCTATTTTCAAGATTTTCATGCGTTTATAGATCTGTTTAATTGGAACCTTTTTTGGAGTCTAAAATTTTATAACTAGAGATAAAAAAAGATTCTCGCACCATCCAAAGAATTTTCGACAACAAAATTGCATCTCATGACAAAGTGTGGAGGTGCACCTCACTTTGATTGTTTACGATTGCAACCTTATGCAAACCATGCCCTTTTAAAAAACACTACACTGTTCTCCCATTACATACTCCTGCAGCTGCTACTTTCCCAGCAGCTAAGCTGAATCTGTTTGAGAGATGGAAATTTGTGATAAATCAATTTAGAATGTAATAAGGGAATCCAATTCTATGTATCTGATAAGAACTGTATGAGGAGGAATCAGGATTCTCCTAATGCAAGTGTTGTAGAAACCTGAAGTGCCTAATTTCGTAATTTGCAGGCAAGTCTTCCACTTTTATATTGCCAAATCCCTAGTATTATACTTGAGATTACGATTGAAAGAGCAGCTTCTTATGCTACTCTCCATTGAAATATAAGCTGTGCACTTTCTTCCTTGCAAAGTGTGTTTTTACTTTCTGAATGCCATATTGCACTCGCTCAATATTCTACTTTGCCATTGATACTTGTTTTATTTTTATTTTATTTATTTTATTTTATTTCTTTTTGGTCCTAGAGGTCAAAGTTAACTTGTTTTATTACTTTAAAAAATGATGCTTGTTTTATTTATGAAGAATTCTGCTTTTTAAGATTTTGTTCAGCCTCTTTTTTCATGTGCATAGTAATACCTAATTTCTCCTTCTCATCCATATTTCAGCTATTTACAGTTTTTAGAAACACTAGAAAAGCAAGTGGATCAGGATTGGTCTGCCATTTCATGCTCACTCGAGGATATTCGTAGAAGTTTGCTTTCTCGGAAAGGTTGCCTCATAAATCTTACAGCTGACGGGAAAAACCTCTCAAATTCCGAGAAGCATGTGAGTAAGTTCCTCGATTTGCTTCCAGCCACGAGTTCCTTGGAAACAACGTCATGGAAGGCACAGCTTTATCTTGGGAATGAAGCTCTGGTCATCCCTACCCAGGTGCTGGTTAATTTCTTAGTTGTTTATTATTACATGGTTCTAAGTCTAATGGTACTGAGGTCCTGGTTTACATGGCTCCCTAGTTTTCATGGACAAGTATATTGTAATCCAATGGAGAATGGAGAATGGAGCCGTAGTCTATTGTTGTCATAAACATTCACTGAAATGGAGGTGAAGGGAGAGACAGAGAGTTGGACTGACTATTGGCATCACATCTCTTCATCACTGTCCATCATTTTGGTGAATATTGATAACCGTAATGGCCTATGGTTTCCTTTGCGCATTCCCACTTCTCATTTGTATCTGTTTCATAGTACAGAGTTTTGCATTTACTGTTTGTGTGTCTGCCATTCCTTTCCTCAAATCTCGGGTCTTGATAGTTTGCTCTAGAAAAAGAGGCAGATTTTAAAATAAGATTTGGTCCCTTCTTCTCGCTGCTGTTGCAGGTTAACTATGTGGGAAAGGCTGGTAACTTATATGACACCGGATACCAGCTTAATGGAAGCACGTATGTGATCTCCATGTACATAGGAAACACATGGTTGTGGGATCGAGTTCGCGTTAGTGGGGGTGCATATGGAGGATTCTGTGATTTTGATACACATTCAGGTGAACATTTTATTCTGAAAGTGCAGATAGAGAGGGACCCAACATGATACCCATGTTTTCACTTTTTGTTATCCCCTTGTTTACTAAAGAGAGGTTTGCTGGATTGCATTTATTTGAGAGTGATAGCCCTAAACTTACTCAAGCATCTTCCCTATGTATCTTCTCTCCTGTGATCTCTGCCAGTTTCCCATTTTATCTCTCTTCCTCCTCCCCTTTTAAATTCTCCTAAATTCATGCTCTCCTATCCGTTCACCCTTTTATCTTGTCTTGTGTATTATACTTTCATGGGTGATAAGTGAGTCACAAACATACCAACTCTGTTAATTTATTGCATAAGATGAGCTATAGGTGCACAATGCTCTTTCATATCTTAGTTACAGCTGCCAATTTTCGCTGGATTTTTATGCAGGAGTGTTTTCTTATCTTTCTTATCGAGACCCTAATTTACTGAAGACTCTCGACATATATGATGGAACGGCAAACTTCCTTCGCGAATTAGAATTAGATGAAGATACACTTACTAAGGCGATAATTGGGACCATTGGAGACGTGGATGGTTACCAATTACCAGATGCCAAAGGTTACAGCAGGTGAGAAATTACTTACTGGAAGCAGATAGAATGCGTGGTTCCTTCCCATGCTGGTTATTAGGGCATGAATCTTTTTTAAATTTTACTGGGTTTTTCCTTTAATCCTTGCAGTGTGTACAATAGTGAAAATTTATTTTCAAAGGCACCAATGTGAACGTCTGGGTTGCCTTGATAATTAATTCAGAAAGCAAACTATGATCAATTGAAACTATAAAAAACCATAGTCCATTGGGATAAGCCTCATTGAATCAAATGTAGGAATGGTATTTGACCCCTGGGGCCGTTTCCACTCCATTACCACCATTATTTGATTGGGGTGATGACCCCAATGGTCTATTTTTTTCCGTAGTACATTGAATTATAGTTTTGCCCCAAGTAATATCTGATATTTGAGCTATATGCTATAGACCAACAATTGAACATGTTGATGCAATGCCATGCATCCTAGCAGCAGTTCCACATCCAAGATGTGTGTGGATGTTGGGGTCAGCACCTGTGCTAATGGTAAATAGTGATGGTGACAAAAATGAGTCAAATTGTGGATCACACTCTCTCCATCACTATCCTTTATTTGATTGCACAGTGAACAGTATCAATATCGTTGGTCTGTATCGTGGTTCAACTTGTTAGAATAGGCGAACAAACCCATTCCAAAACCATCACACAGGTGCTAAGGCAGGAGGAAAGTGAGGGATGAAAGAAGTCTATTCACCTTTTTGTCCAAGGAGTTTTGCATCTCTCAGGGACCGGGGGAAGACTGAAATAGGCGTGGGGAAGAGGGGGGGGGGGGCGCGGAATGAGCCTTCTCCCCTGACCACCCACCCCATCCTTCCCCTTTGCCCAGCCCCAGTGAGGTACATAGAGATCAAAGTTGAATGATAGGAGGAGAACACTGCTGGCAGGAGAGTGACTCTCAACTCATTAGACCCGGCGGGTATGGATCAAACCAGGAACTGCCTGATAGCAGCAGAAGGGTTTCGATTCCCATTATACGTGATGTGGCATGAGTTATGGTTTTCAATAGTCTTTGAAATACATGCTCTAAACTAAGAAATGAACAGCTAAATTTAATAATATGCATTGCAGAAATAAATCGTAAACATCCAAGACAGAGAACCACCTATGCTGCTTACTTTTTATTACATTTTCGCGCTTAATTGCTCTTATCTCATGCATGATTTGGTGTCAAGATTATCTTGGCACATCCAATAAATGTGAGGCTTTCTTTATTTCCAGTATGTTGAGGTACTTGTTGGGGATCACTGAGGAGGAAAGGCAAAAACGGCATGAAGAAATCTTATCTACTAGGTAAAATTGTTGCTTTCTGAATACAATATCCAGCACTTGATCTTTGGTCATCAACTAGGTTTCAATCTCCCACCCCTAGAGTTGGTTGGCCTTGTATTAGGATTTGAAATTCATTGTCTACGAATGGATAGTTCAATTTTTAAAATTTTTGTACTCGTGCAGCTTGAAGGACTTCCATGACTTTGCTGATGTTGTTGACGTGGTAAAGCACAAGGGAGTCGTGGTTGCAGTTGCATCAGAAGATGATGTTACTGCAGCAAATGAGGAGAGGCCTGGATTCTTTCAAGTGAAGAAGGTCCTGTGAAACACACAAACATCATGTTCAGATTTTTCAGCTTGGTTCTTAATGTGAATAAGCTGTGTTGATTATTATATGATCCAAAATGGTTTGCAAAATTATAGGGTGGTAAAATTTTTGAGAACATTAGAAAAAGGATCGGCAGGTTGCATTATATCTCGATTCGTTGTGATTGGATCATCTCTCTCTCTCTGCTTCTCTCTCTCTCTCTCTCTCTCTCTCTCTCTCGCACACACTGTGTCTCTACGTCGTCGTTGTTTGTTTGTTGGTCGTATATTACTATTAGTTAGGTTTAGGGTTTAGGGGGTTTGGGGGTTTACGGGTTACGTACGTTACG